ACACTAAAACAATAAAGAAGACTGAAAGAGTGAAGCTTAAAGATGTGGGTAGGAAGCCCACCTAAGTCCCAACCCAAACTGAACACTAAAGGCCACCCAAGTCAAGTGCTTAGCAAGTTTAGCCCGCCTACCCTCTACAAAAAAGCTCTACTAACACCAAATGTCAAACAATGGGGACAACCAATGGTCAATCATTTATATAGTCCTACAAAGCTTACTTTAAGTTATTAGAGTGTAACCTATGCTATGTATTCCAGACACAATGATTTGATGTGTGGATAAAATATAAAATTAGTTTACATTAATAATAAAGATAATTATCTAAAAATAAATGGTGAACCAATACATCATTTGCAAACCCAAAATTACATTGTAATTTGTAAAGATAAATATTCAAAAATCAATAGATATTTTGATGGCTATCTATGGAGTTAACTTGAAGACTATTACCGTATTGAAAACACAGATAAAAATTCACAAATGGTGCTATTTCTCCTCTTATAAACAAAGTAAGTTGAAAAATTAAATATATATTAATTAGTTACAAGAAAAAAAGTTTAAAGTGAAAGACAAAATAACAAATATAGTAAAAAAGTTAGAGATTTAGTTCAAAAGATAAATAAGTTGAGAAAATAAAAAGAAACAGAAAAAGAAAAACAAAGAAAATGAGGAAGAAAGGAATGAAGAGAAAAACTAAATAAGAAATGGGCAAACAATTCTAGAAAGGGAAACCATAGAAACCTTGTAAAATTAAAATAATACTAATCAATTACATTTCTAAAAATTAATCCAAAAATCACATCAATTTAAAAAATAAAAAAATTCATACATAAAAAAAACCATAGGTAGTTCATATATACTTATATGATAATTTTTTCTAGAAAAAAGGATAAAATTGTAAATTTAATTAGTAAAGAAATTAAACATTAATAAAAAGAATAATAAAAAATTCAAAAAAAAAGAGAGAAAACTAAACAAATCTCAAAACTCACTAAACCTGTAACTGAATAATATTCTATCAATGTGGTTTCAATAATATACAATTAAAAAGTGAATGGTTGACTAATATTATATTTTGTAAAAATACACTTATCTATGACATTTTTGAATATTCAAAAAGTAACAGAAAAAATCAAATGAGTTGAAAGATAAACATATAACAAAATAATAATGACAAACATGTAAATTAAGGAAGTTATTTCTTGTCAAGGACATATTCTTACTCAAAAGTGTAGAGGGTTCTTTTGGTAGGAATAGAGAATGTGTCGCAAAGAGTAAATCAGAATGCACTAAAGGGTAGAAAGGAAAATTGGAGTAGTCCTTGAGCGTAAGTGCTTTAGGTGACAAGTAATGAGGGATGAGAAAAGGTGGAGGAAGTGATGGATTACAGTGAATGGGAAGGGCTGAATAGAAAGAATGCTTGGAAGAGTTTTCAGAAAGTTTTTAGTATAATCTCTGCTGGGTTTCTAATGATTTCTAATTGCCTTCCAACCTTTAAGGCCTTCATATTTATGCTGAACAAGAGCACTTTCTTAATAGTAGTTAGGAGAACACGTTCAATTATGAGAGAATGTACTTGTCATAATAGAGCAGTTGAAGAATAATTTATGAGATATTAAAAGAATGACCATGTAGCTAGGTAGCGAGGATAAGTTTTGGGTAATGGAGTAGTGGCACTTGATAGTCTGTCGTTATTGTGAACATTCTAATTAAGCTAATGACGTTATAAGCTAATAATAATAATAATAATAATTCTTAAAAGAAGATTTCTCCATGTGATGGGCAATCAGTTGAATGTGATCCATAATTAACCTAGAAAACTTTTTGGTCATTTAACTAGTTTTTTGTTTACATCATTTACAAGTAAATTGTTAATTAGTTTCCTTTAAAATAGGAGGGAAAAACAGAGATATATGTGGAAAACCAATTAAAGTAGAAAAAGATTTGAAAAGAAATTTAAAGAGTTAGATTCATATAGGAAAATAATTCCTAAAGTTTTAAATATATGAAATAGTTCTATAGAAATTCAAATCAATTTTCAAAAGCTCTTTCCTAAAATTTCTCTAAACAAGTAAGTGCTCTTTATAACACTATTGTGTTTTTTTTTTGTATTGTTTGCTCTTATTTTATTTTTTTTTTAATTATTATTTATTATTATTTCATTTGTTGTAAGTAGCTTTCATTTGAAAGGAAAAAAATTATTATTACTGCTAGGATACCTTCCTAGAGATTTTTGGTTATGTATATGTTTAGGACGCTTCTAAATATGAAACACCCTTAGACACTTCCTTGCTTGGAACTCCGAAACACTTAATATATTTTGCCCCTTGTAAAAAAAATTATTATAAAAATTTCATGCACAATAAATTTAGATTTGGTTTATCATTAGAACGTGAGAATAATGGGTGCATTATATATAAATCTTGAATTGCATATCAACGTTTGACCTTGGGATGTCGATAAAGGGAAAGGTTATCACTTTAATGTTTTTTACATTGTAAGATTATAGCTCTTAATAATATTGTTCAATATGTTAAGAGATTTAAGCTGTATAAAGATTAATAAGAAAAATAGAAATGGTAAAAGTCTATGCATTATTAGAAACAGAGGACATGGTTTTGATCCAAATGAAAAATAAATATTTGGCTCATGACAACTTTGTAAGTCTTTGAATATAATAATGCTCACCTTTCCATTTGTCATGTAATCTTTTGCAAGCTTTCAATAGTTTGATTTCTTTTTTTTTATTTTCTTCATATACAAACATTTGTATATATTATGCTTACAAGGATTCTTTATGCAATTATGGAAGAAAGGTTGGGAATGCCATTGCCCATCAAATACCCAATTCCAAAAATGGCTAGTCAATCTCTAAGATTTTTTTTAACGATTTCTTTTTGGATAGATAAGTTTTATTTTCAATCAATATTTTTTTTAAACACAACTCTCGTAGAGAAGTAAGGGAAATTTTTTTTTTCTCGCTAGCTTTTTTCAAAGAGGGATTTTTTTTGTCATATGTCTAATGATTTATTTATATATGTATGTAGATACATTTATATGATATTCTTATTTGTTTTGCTCGGCATAGGAATAAACAAACAAATATGGGGCAAAAATAAAAAAAGAAATAAATAAGAATGGAATATTACTGTATAAGTAAGAATGATAATGCGTGAATAGTTATTTGGTTATCTTTGTCATTTATGCTAGTAGGAATTTTGTTGCTTCATCTTATGGCTAGAACTTGTTTTACCTTAAAAGTTCGTTATGGTAGCCTAGAAGGCTACTCTAGATCTTTCTTGTCTTTTGATATTTTTCCTCAAGTCGATGAGGGTCACTTTTTCTTAAGTAGAAAAAACTTTCCCCGAACATTTTACACATCTGGTTCCAAGAGTCACCTGAGTCAGAAGTGAGATTAACATACCATGTGTTAGCTCTTTCAGTGAGAGATTTAAAGAACTCCTTTAGCTTTAAATTGTCGTCCAAGCTTGCAACTCTTAAAGTTTTAACAAACTTCATGACATGTTCTCAAGCATCATCGGTCTTACCATTAAATTATTTGAATTTTGGGTAGGTGTAATCCTTAGGGTACGGCTTAGTGGCTACTTTGGGAGGATGGGGTAGTTTTAGGTTAAACTTTGAAAAGTTGAAAACTCTTGCTTTTTTGATTGAGCAGCTTCTTTAGCTCTTCCTTTGTAACAAAACTTTGAGCACTAGTGAAAGGAATTACTGTAACGAGATTACTTATAATAGAAGGGTTGGTGGTATCAAGGAATGGGTCAGTTGTGCTCTCTCCATCTCCTCCATTTTCATTGTTGACCACGCTAGTGGCATTTTCTCCATTGTGTGTTAGTATTGGTTAAGGTTGAGAAGTTGTGGTGGTTGAGGTTGAGAAGTTATGGCAGTTGAAGATGTAAATTGAGCAATAATCTCTATCATCCGTTTGTTGTTTTTTTTCCAAGACCTGTATATTTTCTTGGGAAGCTTGGAGTATTTTCATGAGCTCTTGGACATAAGTAGGGGAAAGTGTTTCTTGGTTGTCAGGAGAATCCTCCATATCTTCTGAAAAAAATTTTGGTTAATTTTTCACTTACTATAATCACTCCTTCTTAATGGGGTCACCAAAAAGTAGAGGGTTCTTCTAGTAGAATAAGAGGACGTGTTGTAATGAGTGAATTGAAATGCATTAGAGATGGTAGAGAGAAGACTGGAATAGTCCATAAAGCGTAAGTGCTTTGAGTGGCAGGTGGTGAGGGATAAGAAAAGGTAGAGGAAGCGATGAATTACAACAAATAGGAATGGTTGAATAGAAATAATGTTTGGTGGAGTCTTAAAAGAGCTTTTAGTATAATCTTGGCTAGGTTTCTAATGATTTCTGATTGCCTCCCAATCTCCAAGGCCTTCATATTTATATTGAATAAGAGCACTTTCTTAGAAGCGGTTAGGAGGAGAATGAGCTTGTCATGGAAGAGCAGTTAAAGAATAGTTTATGGGATATTAAAAGAATGACCATGTAGTTGGAAGTGGGTGTAAGTTTTGGGTAATGTAGTAGTGGCACTTGATAGTGCACCACATGTATTCTTAAAGAGAAAAGAAAGAAAAGGGGTTAAGCACATGTATTTCAAAAAAAGGTTAAGAGAAAGTTCTCTTAACTATCTCCGTATTTGAGCCACTAAGCCCAACTCTCTAGAACATCTCAAATGTGAAAGTAACTCATGAACCTTGCCAGTTGTTTTAAGTTATTTTCATTTCCCTAAACAAATAGTTGTTCCATGTTTACTCTTGGGTGTTTCCACACTTGGAAGCTTTTGGGCGCTTTCGAGTTGGGAATGCTTGCACGGGAGCGCCCTAGAGCACTTCCATGCTTGGAACACTCTTTGAGTGCTTTCGCACTTGGAAAGCCTTAGGCCTTTCCTCACTTGAAAAACCTTTAAGCATTTCTGCGCTTAGAATGTCCTTGGGCACTTCTGCTCTTGGAACACATTAATGTAATTTTTTTTGTAACACAGTACTTAAAAAATAATAGTTAACTAAAATTGGGCATCTATAAAAAAATAATTAAAAATAAGCTTATTATAAGATAAGATGAGTAACAGATTAAAGAAGTCAATAATTGATATAACTTGAGTAAAAGTGCAAGTAGATTATTATCTAAAATAGAAAAGTATAACCATACACCTAATCATATAAGATAAAACCAAAGAAAAAATTTAAAAACTTAGATGAAAGACTTCTAAATTTTTATGAAAGTAACAATATTATAAGAATAAAAATAATAAAGAACCCAAATAATGAAAATTTGAATAAAGAGAAAATCATAAAATTAAAAAATAAAATAAGAAAAATATATAAAATATGTTTGAAACAATTATAATTGAAAGTTGTCTTAAAAATAAAGCAATACTAATCAATCGCATTCAAAGAAATTAATCTAAAAATCAAATCAACTTTAAAAACAGAAAAATTCATGCATAAAAAAAAGCAATGGGTAGTTAACGTTTACTTGTATGACAATTGTTTTTTGAAAAAAAAGATAAAATTATAAATATTATCAATAAATAAATAAAACATTAAGAAAGAATAACAAAAAATTAAAAAGAGAGAAAAACTAAATAAAATATTCAATCTCAAAACTTACAAAAAAATACCCGTTTATTATGTTTCAACTTTTCCTGTTTCTTTTTTTTTTTCTTTTCTAACAAATTATGCTTTCCGTAGTCTCCCCGTTTAAGTTGCCCTGAACATTAACATAAATAAAATACCTTCAAAAGTAATAATGATAATTAAACAAAATAAAAAAAATAACATATAATCATCAATGATGAACAAATAAAAAAAATAGCAATGAGGAACAAAAGCAAAGCAAAAACCAATTAATTGCAATCTAAAATCCCTAAATCCAAAAATATTAAAAAAATAAAAATAGATCAAAAATAAAAATGAAAGAAGGAAACCCAACCACCAATTTCTATGACTTGAAGAAAAACAAAACGGAAGAACATTATAAACAGACAAAATCTATATTATTAAACAATATGTTGAAGCATATGTTTTTTAAATTAATAATATGAAAAAATGTAGATTTATTTAGAATTTTTTATTATTAAGCAATAGGTTGAACCAAACATAAATAGACAAAATCATCTTCAAACATCTTCTAAAATATCTAAAATCTCATAAATAAAGAAAATTAAACAAATACTCTCAACAAATAACAAAATACCACACATATCTCATGGATAATTCAACAAATAATTAGATTATATAAGTGTCAATCAATTAACTTATTTGGACATAACTTTTAATGTAAGTAGACAGTTAATAGATACACTAGAGATAGATTACAGATGTAGTAATTATTAAAAAAAAATAACGGAAAAAAATGATGGAGCCGCACGTAACAAAGCAACGGTGAGGTCGAGCTCATGCGATGACAACGCCCACTCACCCCGATTTTCTTGTTTAGCTTCACTTTTCGTTTAAAGTTGAAAGCGCTGGAGCAAGGAGAGAGCGCACCGCAGAAATACAGCAAACGCGACGGGGAGGAAGTCTCTTATCTTTGAAATCGAATTCTTTAACAACCAAAAAGCATAGGTTTCATTCTCTCTCTCTCTTGATTTAATTTCCTAAAATAGTAATATTGCTCCTTCAATCGTGTTTAACATTGTTATTCGAATCCCTAGATTTGCTTTTATTTGATCTCTTCTGTGGCTCGCAAACTGTCAGAAATGAAAATAATATTTCGAGTTTTTACCCCTCAATTCTGTCTTCTCTTCCTTGCTTTAATCTAGGGTTTCTTGTTTTTGATCTTCATTTTAATGCGTATTTTTTAATGAATTTCCCAAATACATTTTTATTCTTGTTGGTGCAGATAGTTTCTGAAAAAAAAAGTGAAAATGTGAAAAAGAGGACAAAGAAGTCCTAGGTTTTTGGAGCTTATATCTGTTTTTGAGATAAGAAAAGGAAAGAACTCTTTAATTCCTGTTCTTCGGTGTTCGCCTGAAGCGACAGCAAAACATTTCTTGACCTTAAGCAGAAGCAAAAGTCGTATTTAGTTATAAATTGTTCCTTACAGTAAATAGTAATATATTCTGTCATTCATCAACAATTGAATTTCCAAGTTTTAATCTTTCAAAGATATCCTTACACGTTTGCCCTTTTTTTTTTTTTAAAATTTGGAAGCATTATGCTAGTAGAATGAGCAATAACAAAGTAAAAAGGAGCTTTACTTGCTTAGAATAAGATAACCAATAGAAACTCAATTAAAGACTGATAGTAGTTAGTGAACCTCGAATTGGCTCAAGGGAGAGATAAATTGAGGCTTGACTTTGAACTAAATTGTTATTCATAGCTTCTCCCTTCTTCCTTTCATCCCTGAAATCTTCTGATTTTTATTTGCTTGATTAGCTAATTCTCACTCTGTTTACTGGCTACTAATGGTGACTTGGGAATGCTGTGGATTTCTGGTTTTCTTTTGCTGAGGAATCTTTATTTATTTATTTATTTATTATTTTTCATATTTAAGTTTATCAGATTGGAAGCTTTGTTCAAATGATTTTTCTAATTTTGAATTACTCTATGGTTGTAATGAAGTGAGTTTCACTTTATTTTCCTTCCCCCCGCCCCCCAAATGCTCACAATTGTTCGCTTTTTCGATAACATCAGTTTCTTCTTCTTAATACCCACTGATTATGTTGTCTTGGCAAATATGTTGTTCTTTTCTATGCTTTCTTATGTTTACTTAATATAGAAATATATATTATTTCAGGTAATAGGTTTCATGGACTCGAATTTGCAGACTTCACCTCCTGATAGTTCTGATGCAAAAGCAGCATTTCGTAAGTTTTCTAATGATGCATCTAACCGACAGTATAGGCGCCGTTCTCCAATCAGCAGGTCATCTTCATCTGAAGGTTCGTTGTTGACTTTTCTTTTATGTTCTAAGTGGATCTTTTAGAACCTTGGAATGTTTCTGGTTTATGATGTTTTTAAAGTCACAATATAATTTCAGTCCTTATTTTGAGTAGTATGATATTTTTTTGATTTGATGTCAGAGGTTGGTTGTAATCTGCATTTGTGGTTGTTGATTGCATGTTCTATTATTGCAATTCATTTTTCTTTAAATTAAGGTGTCTCACCTAGAGAATGTTTCAGTTATAGTTGTGTGAGAGGAGGGGAGGATATGATGATGAGATTATCTAAGCTAACATGGGTAGAATTGGAGTCTAATTTACATAGAACTGAACTTTCTTTAGATGCTATTATTATTAAGTAAAAACTATCTATGTAGGGTAATCTACCTAAGTGGGTTGTGGTGTACTAAGTTTGGAAGAGCTTTCAGGTTAAATGGCTACAGAAAAAAGTGATTTTAGGGTACTTGGGCCCAATACAAAGTTGTTACAGATCAGAAATCAATTAGGGTTTGATTTAACTGTGATTTGGCCATGGATAAGAGGTTGACATTGAAGGAACAAGTTGCTGGATATTGTTATTAGCAATAAGATTGGGGTTAATTGTCATATTTGGAAGGCTGCTGTTTGTAGGTCTTACTCTGAAAGCATTTGGCAAGTTTAGCATTAATTTGATTTGGATAGCAGAGGGAAGAAATTTGGCCAAGAACTTGTGGAATGCAAGAACACTTGGTATCGATATTTCCATGAACCTGCTAGAATTGGGTTTCTAAATGGGGAAGTAACTTTTTTCTTTTTATTCAAAAATGAGAGTTACTACTTGCTAGCTATATGGCTGGAAACTATGCTTCCTGATTCTTGAACCCAAGATCTTCCATTTGGATGAGATATGCCTTCGTTATTCAACTAAGTACTTTTATGAGGAGAAGCTGATTAATAAACTTGTAAATAACCTCTTAGGGCCCTAGAAAGTAGATAAACTTCCAAACTCTCAGAATGTATAGGCTTAGCCAATTTTATATATAATCTAGGGTGCAATAACTGCGTAAATGAAAGTTCTGCTCTTGAAGATGAAAATGTGCACAAGGTCACAGTTTATAAAATATGGGAAATACATGGCAAAATGCACTAAAGAAGGACTTTAAATGGCTGTATCAATTACTTTTGACGAGGCAAGTAGGTTGATGGCCTTGGGAGTGGTGGAGCAGGAAATTATGATATTTTTTGATAATTTAAAACTGAGAAAGAATCTGAAAGTCATTATTTAGATACCGTTGCCTGGCATCTGAAGGTGTTTTTATACTTGAGATGGTTATGAAAATCACAGGTACCCATCTCTTATGCTCGTATATGACTTAAAATAGAAGTTTTTTGGCTCAGAGGTGTTTGAAATTGTGAGCTTGTAATTGATACCTCTCTTCCTGTCAAGAGACTCACTCGTATAACTATTTATGGTTAGTTCACTCTAGTGATGACTTTCTAATAATTAAAGAAACACTGATTCTAGTTAATTAGATCTGCTAGATATTTTAAATTGTCCCCTGCATACTATATATCTGTGTCTAGATCTCAGGAGTTGTAGTATTCAAGTTTCACCTAAAGACAATAATTATTTCAATAATCCTGAATAATTTAGTTCCCAGTGCTACTTTTCTCTCAATTCAAAAATAATCATTCAATAGAAAGATATCAGTCTAGCTTCTGCCTTATCTTTTTTAAGAAGTACTCCGTGGGAATTTCAAATTCAAGAACAAGAGATAATCATCAATACAAAAAGTTTGTCTTGTATGCATGGTCTTCATAGAATGCAAGAAATTGGAACTCTTCCTAATGTAGGATGGGAAATAGAGTTGCATCAAATTAAGAAAATTCGAAATATGTTGGCAAGAGCTTGTAATCTCATCATTCACATGGTTACTAGGGAAGTAGAAAGGAAGAAAGAGGATGGAAGGCAAAACTATCTTCTGTTGCTTGGTGGGGTTGGAATAGGAAATGGGAAGGAAAATTTGTTGAATTTGCACCTTTACACTCTCTCAAAATCTTAACTCTTTAGTTAGTGGAAGGAAAAAACATATAGCTAAATTAATAATTTTATTAACAATTCTATCCTCTACTGTTTTGTTTCCTTTTAAGGTTCTGTCTCTTTTACCAATAAGGAGGGAGACAAATTTTATTCCTTTTCTTCCCTTTTTCTTCTCACTTTTTTTCTTCCTTCCTACCAAACAAAGGTTAGCCTTTTGTTTCAGTGGGAGAAGAAAATTAGGGCTTGTTGGTTAGTTTGGAAAGGAAAAGACTAAGTTTTGAGGGACAAAATAAAATAAAAAAAATGAAATGGAAAGGGATTAAATCTTCCTATGGACAGTGATTCAAGGTTGGGTTGAAGCTTGAAAAATATGCTTTCATGTGGATTTGGTTTGTTGATGACTACTTTTAGGGTTTAAAAGGAATGAATGGTTCTAATGTGAAAGACTATGAAGAATAATTACTAGAATACTTCTGGCACAAAGATAATCTAAGACTTAATAAGAAGATTTACCAAGTACCCCCATAATGTTAAAGACTGAATAAGAATAAGATTTACCATAGTATACCTACACAAGGACAAAATTGGGACTTAATAAAGTTCCTTCTAGCTTCAATAATGACCTAATATAGTTCAATATCAAATGAAGATCACAATCCTTTGTGTTCTAATGGTTTGACTTTCTTGACTACTTTGGCTTCTGCCTCATACCCTTTGTGTTCTAATGGTTTTCTTCTTTTTCATACAATTCTGTAAACATGTGATGAATTCACATTGGAGTTGTCACTTCTGTTGTCAATTTATCACTCTGATACTTAGTCATCTTTGCATGAACCAGTAGATATGAAATGATTATTGTTATTATTGTTATTTCAAAAGTGCTGTTGATGTTGATTGGTCTTTACAGCCTGTTATATATGGCTTGAGTCAGAGTTTTGGGATAAGCAAATCTGTCTGTACTGTTCAGTTGTCACCCTTTAGTATTTTGGTTAATATATTGAAGTGTGATGATACAAACCAGGAAACTTTAGTTTATATAGAAGTTTTGATGAAAATTGGACTGGTTGAAAATTAGGGTAAAAGTGGAAGGAGCCCACTGCACTAGGCGAAGGCACAAAGTTCAAATTTTCTAATAACCCTAGAAGTATGAGGAAGCATTGTATTGATTGATGTTTCCACTCTCAAATGTATTCATTCATATTGCTATATGTATATAGATAATAACTTTTAAGACTCTTAAAAGTGTAAGGCTAGAGCCTTGTCCAATTTAGTAGTCTTGACTAATTTATGACATATAGAGCTTGACTGACCGTTGTACTAACTAATTAACGCATGAAGCTTCAAGTTTAATGAACACAAATATCTTCATTCTTTGAGGAATTGCTCTTATTATTATTATTATTATTATTATTATTATTATTATTATTATCTTGACACATAAATTTACAAGTTTCTTTCCTTTTCCAATCTTAGACCTTGAAAGTCTGAATGATCATCAACAGAAAATGTCTCACATCTCAAAATCTCATTTCTGATTGTGTGTGTATTTACAGGAAATTCTCCTCTGCGTGACCGCAGCGTTAGTCCTATCTTGTCAAGGGATGATCTGGAAAAAGGTGCTGATACTCGACCAGGAAGAGATGGGAGAGAACTAGATAGGGATTCTAGTAGGAATAAATATAGTAGAAATAGTGATTCCTATAGATATTCTGATCGACAGTCTTCCAGGAGTTCTCATGGTTACTCCAGGCATGATAATTATGTCAGACATGACAAGTTTGCAGATGAAGGTTGTAAGTATGATAGGTTGTCCTCTCGTTCTGGTCGAGAATCAAGATTTAGCACTCACTCTGATCATCCAAGACAAGAAAGTGACATTAGCAGGTCAAAAGACTATTCACGAAACGCAGACAAATATTCTCGTGATAGATATGATGGTTCAGGGCATAGGAGCAGGGATAAGGAGAAAGAATCACAATCTCTAGAGCACCAGAAATATAAAGACAAGGATTCAGCTTTTGACAGGGCTGGGTCTGGTAGGAGACAGGGTAGCTCTTTTTCTGAAGAGATGGATAGAGATCGAAGAAGGAGGGGCAGAGATAGTCGAGGGGAAAAAGGGGACTACCATAGAAGCTCGGGAGATAGAAAAGGTGATTACACAGAATCTTATGAAGAATCTAGGGGACACCGGAATGACTTATCTTCTGGTAGGGAGAGGGACAATGATAAATATCACCTTAAAGAAGGTTACAAGAGTGGACTGAAAGAAATAGATGGTCAAAAGCGTGCAAAGGAGAGAATGAAACATGATGAATGGGAAACTAATATGGAAAAAGACAGGTATGGTGGAGTTTTGAAGGAGCAGTATGAAGAGAAGTCTATGTTTGAAGGTAAAAATCAGGAATCTCCAGCTAAAAAACTGAAACTCTTTAGCCCAAGCAAGGGCAATGAGTATGATAAAGATGGTAATTTTTTTGTTGCTTTTTTGTGCTTGATTTTACATATTAGAGCAGTTATATTCATATCTGTTTTCCAATAGATTGATGTTTATTATTCTATTGTTTTATTACTGTGATTAGTTTCTTAAGTCTTCTTCTACTGTAGCTGATGAAAGACGGTCAAGTTTGGAGCAAGCTGAGGAGACTGGTGGAAGAGTGACCATGGAACAGGCCCATGGCAATGATGTTGACATCACTAATGACATAAATGCAGCAAAAGTTGCTGCAATGAAAGCTGCTGAATTAGGTATGCCTTATGGATTTGGCTTGGGGTGGCATCTCATCTCTCTCTCTCTCTTGTAGCTGTTTGATGTGGAGTGACTATAACAAATTGTTTTCATTACATGCTACCAATCCTTTTATTTTTTTTCCCTTTCTCTTATATTTGCTGCTAAAGATATAAGTGCAATACTTGAGTTGGTCTCATGCCCAGCTTGTCATTTTAAATTTTTAAATGGGTTTGTCATTTACTTGATTTGAACATTTGCTTTTCCTACTTTTCTCTCATAAAGAAATTGATGCACTTATGTCTTACTACCTTTTCAGTCCTTTACCCCTTTAGATAATATGATGATTAAAACTACAGCTTCCTTATATATTTTCTTTATAGAAGATTATCTATTTACTTTTTATCCATGTAGTGAGATTGCATAGGACTAATCCAATAAAAGGAAGCAGAATTGTGTGTTTCTATATGTGAAAGCTGGATGTCTTTATATAAATATGTACAACTTAGGGTGAAGGCAGGGTGGGTTTGACTCTGGGTCCATGCGCCTACCATTGAGCCCAATGCTTAGGTGCATTGAATGGTTGTTGATAAGATGCTGAAAATATTGATTTATGATTGTTGACAGGTTTCTCTGGGGCCATTTGAGTTTTAAGTTCTTATCAATTAGGTGGCTAGTTAATGGTAATTTTTATTGGTCTCAAACTTAATTTCTTTAAAAAGTTATATCTTCTTTGCAAAAGAGAGGTTTGTCCTTTGTTCATTGTTTTGTCTTTTCTTTTATTCTTTCTTTTGGATGGGGGTTGTTAATTTTGTGTTTGTTTGGCTTGGCTTTTTTTCAACTTAAATCCCTCTTAATAGCAGAACTCAGGTCAAACAAGATTTTGAGGAGCACTTAAAAAACTGGTAGGTCTATTTAAAGAACAAAATTTAAAAAACAAGCTTAAAGAAAAGCTCCTCTTCGGAGCTTTCTTTTCTTTGCTTTTAAAAACATGTTAGCTTTTCAAGAAATATCCCCCTCTCTTAATTGATTTCTCTTTCCTTTCCCTTCTTTTGCAAATCACCCTTGTCCAACGCAAATCGTGATCTCCCACACTTGTAACTCTCTCTTTGCAAAGACTAGTAGAAAAAAAATAAATAGAAAACCTAGCAACAGAATAGTAAAATCTGAAATTTTTTTGTTCTTACAAAGATTAAGAGAAAAGAAGACCTAAATTCAAAGCTGCATGCAAGTAATATTTAAAAGTTTTCTCTCTTCTTCACCAAAAAGGATTTTAATGTCAAATACATCGTTTTCTCTTTTCTCTTTTTTCTTGGGAAATTGAAGTATCATGGTCTGATTGCTTGGTAGATCAACAAAAATCTAAAACTTTTATCACTATATAACGTTTGAAAGCTATTTTGTTTCTGTGTGGATTTTTTTGATTTTAATGTCTGAAATCGTATATAAGCGTGAAGTAGACTTGTTCTACTTTGATTTATTAGGTGATTGAAGATGACATGAATATCTTTTATGGTAATTTTAACCAAAATTAGAGCTTATATAATTTATTTTACCAAACAATTTTAATTTAATTTTAAAAAGTATTATTTTGCATAAGAGCTTCATAATAGGTTTTAAGTTAAAAAAAACCTAAGCCAAACAAGCTCTGTGTCCTTTAAAATTTAGAATCTAGTTTTCTACTCTGCCCATGCTAAAAGTTATCCTGTTGCCTAATGTCTATGATACTGATATAGTATGCTTCTCATGGTTTTGATCATTACCTTTCACTTAATTTGTGGTTTAAATGGTTAAGTTTGTTGGTTGTGATGGCATGAAGCTGTAACTGTTATTTGAGAGTATATGCTGGAGACAACCTAGAGTTTATATGCCTTAGTTTTGCATGCTTTGAGGTTTTTGAAAGAGGATAATCAATGTGTTCATCCTTTGTCATATGGTATTTGTTTGAAACTCAACAACAGACAAAAGAAGTGTTTTTTGTTTGTCATGATAGAGAGTTAGCTGAAAGATTTGTTTCAAATGTGCTCTATACTTCAAACTTTGGTAGTTAGAATCAAAGCGGGGAAATAGTTTAATAACACTTGGAAATGGAGCCATTGGCATGCTTTTGTCGCAAACTACTTTGAACCTATGAGGTTTACATAGAAAATATGCTATCATATGACGCATTAGTCTAATGTTCTGTCTTCTGGACTGGTCTTGTGTAAGAGTCAAGCCTCAAAAGTTACCATTTGTTTGGTCTCTAATAATCATGGCCTCTATTAAAATGAGGTATGTTTTGTCATTTCCATCCATTCGAGAATTTGTTTCTTGGGGACCTAAGTTCTTTAGCCTTCTATCATGCTGTGCTATCAATCTGTTATCTTTTCTAATATGCTCCATCTTTATTTGGTCTGATGTAGTTTTTGTATCTGGGATGGTTATATGCTAAAGCAGGTTTTGAACTTGAAAATGCAACTTAGATAACATCAATTGCATCCCACCCGAAGGGTGGTTAACTGGTCTCATGCTGATAAGATTGCTCAGTATTTTTCTGCAGTATGCCTATCATAGAACATGCTTGATTAGTTATTCTTCTTTGTATATTACCCTCTATATGGTACTTTTATTGCATTGGTGTTTCCATAATTACTTTTGTTCCTATCATCGAAAGAGGGATCCTCCTGATAGCTCTATTTCCTATTTGCAGTCATACTAATTGACTAAATAATTATTATTTCCTTTTGTTCCTGTTACTGGAACATTATAGACTGGCAGCTGGGTTTCTATGAAAGTTTTTGTTCTCTGGTATTAACACACTATCTGAATTGATTATTAATGCAGTTAACAGGAACCTTATCGGGGCAGGTCACAGTAATATGACTACTGAGCAAAAGAAGAAGTTGCTCTGGGGGAGCAAGAAAAGCACCCCTGCAGAAGAGGTATTTCTTATGAGTTAGCTAAATTTTCAGCTTTTTCGAAATTTACAGTTTACTCCATTTAACATAAATTGCTACTTCCATGTATGTATATGGTTGAATGTCAGTCTGGCCATCGCTGGGATACTGCACTATTTGGTGACCGGGAGAGACAAGAGAAGTTCAATAAACTCATGGTAAATACCTATACCCTCTTTATGGCTTCGTGTGTGTGTGTTGTCTGAGCAACTTGTTTGCCTTGCAATTTAGTGGTGGCAAGCTAGGACAGAACATACCATTGCATGTGCCTCTATGACTCGTTCTCTCATTTAGAGTTCCATCACGTACTAACACAGTTTTAGAGTCTGAGGTTGCCTTGGTACCTATGGCCAATTGTAGGGTGTGAAAGGGGAGGTGAAGGTGGAGCAGAAACCAGAGAATCAAGATGGCAGTGGTCTCCTTCAAGCAGAGAAGCAGCGGGAACTCCAGCAGGATTTGGAGAAACAGTACACCGCTGGGCTCCGACGAAGGGATGGTCGCACTGTTGGATTAGGTCTTTGAGAAGTAGAGTAGGAAATTTCTGTAGCCCCGTGGGAATGCTTTGTGACATTGTGTTGTACTCTTGCGCAAGAACGCTTGCTCTTGACCATTATGGCATTCTGAGGAAAAATATGCTTTGTTGGATGTTTCAGGTCGCAGCAGATGGCTCTACCCTTAGGCTTTCAGTATACAATATATATAACTCTCTCTCTCTCTCTAATCCTCTGGCATATTCAGCATCATTTTAAGGTATCTCATTGTTTAACATATGTCTTTGTTTGGTCCTTAAAATTTAGGAAAATGTCTCATGTGTTCAATGCAGTGCTTGAATTTTAATTTTTTCCATTTAACGTCAATTTTAAATTTTATTAAAAATAAAAATAAAATCTTTTAAGAAGTTTCTTTCAAATTTGTAACTAATTGGATTAGCCCAACCAAGGCCAAATCCATCATCAGCATGTCAAGATTGGCTTCAAAAACCATCGAGAATGGCCTGATATTATCGCAAACATGGAGGTCAGTGAAAGAAAGGAGAGGAATAAATTAAAATATTTCAATTTTTATTTTTCGAAAGACAAATTAAAATTAAAAAATAGATTTCTTTTTTCATTTTTCAAAAACTAATGCCTTTTGAATTTTCTATTTATTATGTTCTAAAGCAATGAAAATTTTTTAATGAATGAAGTTATGCCATTTGTCCCGGATTAAAAAAGAATGTGATATTTATTTGGTCATCAAATTTTTTTAATGGAGTAAAAATGTAGGTCACCTTGATCTTGATCCACAGAATGAAAGCTCAAGTACTAAATTAAATTTTTATTTAGTACATGTGCTCCATTAAGTATTTTATTAATTATAAGGACCAAATGGTCTAACTGTTACATTAAAAAAAAAACCCTTTATTTGAAGTTTGACTTATTCAGCATTCCCCTTTATCCCAAGTCATATTCGGTCTATTCTAACTTTTCCCTATTCAGATTTCCCTAGTCCCCGTTCATACATTTTCTCAAAATTTTTAAGAATTCACAGCAAAGCTCTAGTCTAATAACTTGGCCCCTAAGCTTTTTTCTTTCCCGTCCGATATGTACGAATGGATAAAATTTATGTATAATTAATTTAAGATTTACAATAATTAAATTTTAGAATACAAAAGTGTACTTGATTTTTTATTTATAATTTGACGATGAAAATACTCATAAGATTAGTTGTTAAGATTTAATACACTAAGATCTTCTTTCTTGATCAATAAGTCTCCAATGAGTGAGATTCTTAATGTTTTTGTGCAAATAGAAGAGGAGAGCTGAGTAATCTTTATATAGTGACTCCTTAATGCTCTCTATTGTAGGGTTTAAAGTTTCTTACACAGTTCTAGAGTATTAAGCCCACATTTAATATTGGAGGCTAATCTAGTTTATTAGATCATATTATGAACTATAATATTGTCTCCTTATTAAAACCAAATTAGTTTACCCAGTTTTCTATAAAAGACAATTAAATTAACTAATGTAAGTCCACACTTTAATTATTTGAAAAAAATCTAACTTCTACTTGGACTACATAATTTAAATTCAAATTTTGAAAACACATTTTCTTAAATAACACTCAATCTAGAACAAACTGATATTGAGATTACTCCAAGTATCTATCTATCCAGTAAAATGTAAAACCTCGTATTTTAATACAAAGGTAAAATGGTAAATTACTTGTGAGCTTATAAAATATTCTTTTGGACCAAATAATTTTAAAATTTCTATTTTAAAAACCTATTTTTGTAAAACAGCAAGTTCATTTGAAAGAAGAAACAGAGAGCAGAAAAAAGCAAGAGAGATCGGGTATATTTTGTGAGAAAGGGCAATATGGTCTCAAAAAGACCCTTTGACCTCCCTTGACTCGATCAAGGCTCTGACTCTCGTCCCCCATGTGTGGGCAGGCTATCCCCATTTTCTTCTTCTAGTCCACGTTTTTTCTCTCCTTCTCACACCTATTTACTTCATTCTTTCTTTATTCTTCTTCACGCCAAGAAATTTTCCAGCCTTGAATCTTAAATCAAAGCTTGGTTAAGGTCAACTTCCCCCTCTAAATTTTAACTTTTTCTCTCAACTTCAAGTTAGGGTTTTTGCTTAATCTTCCCTCCACAAGCCCACCAAGATAAGAACCCACTAAATATTGGTTACTAGAGTATGGGTGTCATATCCCAATTTCAATGACTCCAAATAAGCCTTTTAACTCATCACATAAAAACACATCACCACATGCTAGGGCACATTTATCTAAGTGCAATATAATCCATCATGAAAAATCATCATCATGAAGTATGGTAAACATTTCATTTAAATTTTTAAAGTCCATATCACATATAGATTCTTATATCTTTTCGTATAAACATCATATGCACACTTCATTGCTCATATCATCTATAGCCTCATCACCACGAGTATATATCATAAGTCATTTCCACCACTTTCGATGCTCATCATAAACAACACATATCAAGAGTAAATAAACATCAGTATCCTCCATTTTTATTTACATAGCATATGTCCAACATGAAAAGTAAATAAACTATGACTCGACTCAAACCACAACAGAATGTAATGATATTGTAAGGTTTAAAGGAAGGCTTTATCACACTTACCAAGTAAAAGCTGAGTTACTCCTCTACAAGGCGACAAGTTAAGTGACTTATTGATTTGAAACTAGACAAATTTATCTTCAAGTGTGAGTTATAAAACTGAGTGAGTTAACATGGGAAAGGAACAAGCCAAAGGGAAAGAGCTTTTTATAAATATCTATAATCTTGAAGTAAGCATGAACCTAAAAATTATTATCAATCTTCATTCAAATCTTTGAAATAATGCTGTTACAAGACCATTCCAAATGATTTTAATTGAAATTTAAGTCATAAAAGAGTTTGGATTCAAAAGGGAAGTTAAAAACACGTGAAAGGTCATTTTTAAAATAGAAATAGGTTATTCTAAATTTTAGGTATCTATACCTCCTTAAGGGGTATCGCTACTTTTTATCCAAAAGGCTTCCTAGACTCTAAGTATTGATACTTCCTAGGATAGTATAAATACTTTTCACACAATATGCTTTCGGGGGCATTTTGCTTGCTAAGTACTAACACTTGTTTTTGAAGTATTGATACTTCATTCATAAAAACCAAAATTGTGGGCAATTTTCAGCATCCTTCAATACCAACTACCCTTATATTCTTAGGGGCATTCATATAACGTAAGTTGTCACTAGGATTCAACAAGATAACACTATTAATAATCAATCAACATTTTTTTTGAATGATAATAATCAATCATTTAAATCTAAATGCATGCCTTGGAATCTAATCCATACATCAATCTAACTATTCCAACCTTAATAAACTTATTTCAATAAACGTATTACAAGGACAATGGTACAAACCCCACTACCTAAGACAACTCATTGGATAACAGTACAGTCTCCATTATCTTAGACATTCTTAGATAATAGTTCGGTCCCCACTATCTTAGACATTCCCAAACAATGATCGGTCCCCACACTCTTAGACATTCCCAAACAATGATCAGTCCCCACTATCTCGGACATAACAAGGACAATGGTACCATCCCAATTGTCTAAGAGTACTCATCGATTAATAGTACAGTCCCCAATATCTTGGACATTCTTGAATAATGGTGTAATCCCCACTATTTTAGACATAACACGGATAATGATGCAGTCACCATTATCTTAGACATCAGTCAAGTAGTACCACCCCCCATGACAAGGCTGCATATTTGTGTGGTGTTCAACATATCAATAACATACCACAACACAATATACTCATATACATATCATCACATACATGTTCTCTTATGTACTCATTCAAACCCATGGTCACCATTAACATAATCAAGTTCCTACATGATGTTCATCTCATAATCATAAAGGTGGGTATTCATTCATTCACACTTGCATACATATAGCCATACAACAATTTCATATCAATCGTATCATCATAGATTCATTTTGAAGGAAAACATTTGAAAGGGCTTGTCTTCCCTTGTTAAAATACTAGAACATAATATTCATAATTACACAGTATATATACATTTGAAACCTTCTTTAAAAACATTGAAAACGATTTTTAAACTTTTCATGTTTAAAGGATTTAACATGGAAATCATGCAAGGCACAAAATTTAATAGAAATGCTCAACTTTACAAATATCAAATGCTTAAAACATTGTGTTTACCCACCTGATTCGTCAACTAGCACAAGATCGAAACACCGAGTTTTCACTAAAAATAAATCTTTAGAGCTTGAATAGAACCTATAGTAGCAATCATTCAATCATAAACATAACTCAAAACCAAAATCCTGAAATTTGAAAATGCGTTATTTCAAACTCTAACTAAATCTTATGTACTCTAACTTTTGAACCTACTAATTTACCATTCAAAGATAAACTAATGGCGTAAACACTTATATTTATCTTTTTCCTACCTTGGTGAGCTTGTAGTGAGAAAAAATCATGATAGACGCCAAAACCTTAGAGAAAGAAGCTCAAATATGTTGAAAGAGGAAACATTAGAGCTTGAAAACTAGAGATTTGAAAATTGAATAATGGGAAGCCTTTTCCTTGCTTCGAAATTAAAAACTAGATTTGAAACTTCAAGAATGAAGGTCTTGGAGAGAGAATGGACAAGATAAAGGTTGCGAGTTGCAAGAAAAAGTAATAGGAGGTGGACTAGGGCTAAAGAAGGGTTAAGACTAGCCTATTAGGGAAATTTCTAGAGTGATGTAAAAGTGACGACAAATGTTGATATTTGGTTTTGGGTTTTCAAGTATCAATTCCTTTAAATTAAGTATCAATACTTGTTCTTCAAAATCCTTTTAAAAGCTTCCTGGGCAGCAAGTGTCGATACCTTATTCTTAGGTATCAATACTGTTAGATAATGCCAACTTAATATTGGCAAGAAAATATCCAAGAGGGTGGGGTAGGGGGGTGAATTGGATTTATAAAATTTCTTTCCAATAAATTAAACTTTTAATCAAATCTTGAAGACAAGTTTCTCAAATTGATTCTTGATCAAATGATGTTTTTCTCTTCTATGTTCCAAAGAGGTCATTTTTATTGTTGGAGAAGGTTTGGAACCGTTGGAGATGATTTGGTGAAGAAACTAGTTTTTTTTTTCTCTTGAATTCTGTGTCCAATGACTATCTAGGATCGACCCTTAATGATGGAGAATATATCGTTTAGAGTTCTAGTGCCTTTGTTGTTCTTCTG